AAATATACTATAGAAATACATTGAAAATTGGTTAGAGATGTGATTGCCATTAATCAGAATTAATCCATTTACGAACAGAATTGGGCTGTTACATTTATAAAGTGAATATACTGAAAATGAATTTACTATAGAAATACATTGAAAATTGGTTAGAGATGTGATTGCCATTAATCAGAATTAATTCATTTTACGAACAGAATTGGGCTGTTACATTTATAAAGTGAATATACTGAAAATGAATTTACTATAGAAATACAAATTGAAATGTGATTGGTTAATCAGAAATGTGATTTGCCATTAATCAGGTGAATATACTGAAATGAATTTATCCATTTTGGGTTAGAGATGTGATTGCCAATTGGGCTATTACATTTATTTATAAAGTGAATATACTGAAAATGAATTTACTATAGAAATACATTGAAAATTGGTTAGAGATGTGATTGCCATTAATCAGAATTAATCCATTTTACGAATGAATTGGGCTTGTTACATTTATAAAGTGAATATATAAAATGAAAATGAATGTACTATAGAAATACATTGAAATTATACTATTGCCATTATTAAAAATTAATCCATTGAACAGAATTGTTACATTTATAAAGTTAGAAAATGTATAAAAACATGCCATTAATCATTGCCATTAATCAGAATTAATCCATTTTACGAACAGAATTGGGCTGTTACATTTATAAAGTGAATATACTGAAAATGAATTTACTATAGAAATACATTGAAAATTGGTTAGAGATGTGATTGCCATTAATCAGGAATTAATCCATTTTACGAACAGAATTGGGCTGTTACATTTATAAAGTGAATATACTGAAATGAATTTACTATAGAAATACATTGAAAATTGGTTAGAGATGTGATTGCCATTAATCAGGAATTAATCCATTTTACGAACAGAATTGGGGCTGTTACATTTATAAAAGTGAATATACTGAAAATGAATTTACTATAGAAATACATTGAAAATTGGTTAGAGATGTGATTGCCATTAATCAGGAATTAATCCATTTTACGAACAGAATTGGGCTGTTACATTTATAAAGTGAATATACTGAAATGAATTTACTATAGAAATACATTGAAAATTGGTTAGAGATGTGATTGCCATTAATCAGAATTAATCCATTTTACGAACAGAATTGGGCTGTTACATTTATAAAGTGAATATACTGAAAATGAATTTACTATAGAAATACATTGAAAATTGGTTAGAGATGTGATTGCCATTAATCAGGAATTAATCCATTTTACGAACAGAATTGGGCAGAATTGGTGCTGAATTTACTTATTTATAAGATGAATATACTTTACGAAATGAATTTACTATAAAAATACATTGAAAATTTTACTTAGAAATGTGTGATTGCCATTAATCAGGAATTAATCCATTTTACGAACAGAATTGGGCTGTTACATTTATAAAGTGAATATACTGAAAATGAATTTACTATAGAAATACATTGAAAATTGGTTAGAGATGTGATTGCCATTAATCAGAATTAATCCATTTTACGAACAGAATTGGGCTGTTACATTTATAAAGTGAATATACTGAAAATGAATTTACTATAGAAATACATTGAAAATTGGTTAGAGATGTGATTGCCATTAATCAGAATTAATCCATTTTACGAACAGAATTGGGCTGTTACATTTATAAAGTGAATATACTGAAAATGAATTTACTATAGAAATACATTGAAAATTGGTTAGAGATGTGATTGCCATTAATCAGGAATTAATCCATTTTACGAACAGAATTGGGCTTTATAAAGTGAATATACATTTATAAAAATACATTGAAAATTGAATATACTGAAAATGAATTTTACTATAAAGAAAAAATGAATTTATTATAGAAATAAAAATTGGTTAGAGATGTGATTGCCATTAATCAGGAATTAATCCATTTTACGAACAGAATTGGGCTGTTACATTTATAAAGTGAATATACTGAAAAATGAATTTACTATAGAAATACATTGAAAATTGGTTAGAGATGTGATTGCCATTAATCAGGAATTAATCCATTTTACGAACAGAATTGGGCTGTTACATTTTTATAAAGTGAATATACTGAAAATGAATTTACTATAGAAATACATTGAAAATTGGTTAGAGATGTGATTGCCATTAATCAGGAATTAATCCATTTTACGAACAGAATTGGGCTGTTACATTTATATAAAGTGAATATACTGAAAATGAATTTACTATAGAAATACATTGAAAATTGGTTAGAGATGTGATTGCCATTAATCAGAATTAATTCATTTTACGAACAGAATTGGGCTGTTACATTTATAAAGTGAATATACTGAAAATGAATTTACTATAGAAATACATTGAAAATTGGTTAGAGATGTGATTGCCATTAATCAGAATTAATCCATTTTACGAACAGAATTGGGCTGTTACATTTATAAAGTGAATATACTGAAAATGAATTTATATAGAAATACATTTACGAAAATTGGTTAGAGATGTGATTGCCATTAATCAAATTAGTTAGAAATTAATCCATTTTACGAACAGAATTGGGCTGTTACATTTATAAAGTGAATATACTGAAAATGAATTTACTATAGAAATACATTGAAAATTGGTTAGAGATGTGATTGCCATTAATCAGGAATTAATCCATTTTACGAACAGAATTGGGCTGTTATAAAGTGAATATACTGAAAATGTTTACTATAGAAATACATTGAAATTGGTTAGAGATTTTGCTTAATCAGAATTAATCCATTTTACGAACAGAATTGGGCTATACATTTATAAATGAATATACTAAAATGAATTTACTATAGAAATACATTGAAAATTGGTTAGAGATGTGATTGCCATTAATCAGAATTAATTCATTTTACGAACAGAATTGGGCTGTTACATTTATAAAGTGAATATACTGAAAATGAATTTACTATAGAAATACATTGAAAATTGGTTAGAGATGTGATTGCCATTAATCAGAATTAATCCATTTTACGAACAGAATTGGGCTGTTACATTTATAAAGTGAATATACTGAAAATGAATTTACTATAGAAATACATTGAAAATTGGTTAGAGATGTGATTGCCATTAATCAGGAATTAATTCATTTTACGAACAGAATTGTGTTGTTACATTTATAAAGTGAAAATTGGTTATACTGAAAATTTTACGAACAGAATTTACTATAGAAATACATTGAAAATTTTACTATAGGTTAAAATTGAGAGATGTGATTGCCATTAATCAGGAATTAATCCATTTTACGAACAGAATTGGGCTGTTACATTTATAAAGTGAATATACTGAAAATGAATTTACTATAGAAATACATTGAAAATTGTGTTTTGAGATTTGCCATTAATCAGAATTAATCCATTTTACGAACAGAATTGTGCTGTTACATTTATAAAGTGAATATACAAAATAATTTACTATAGAAATTTGAAAATTGGTTAGAGATTGATTGCCATTAATCAGAATTAATCCATTTTAATTGGGCTGTTACATTTATAAAGTGAATATACTGAAAATGAATTTACTATAGAAATACATTTGAAAATTGGTTAGAGATGTGATTGCCATTAATCAGAAATTAATTATTTTTACGAACAGAATTGGGCTTATTACATTTATAAAGTGAATATACTGAAAATGAATTTACTATAGAAATACATTGAAAATTGGTTAGAGATGGATTGCCATTAATCATTAATCTTTTACGAACAGAATTAATTACATTTTTACAGATAATATTGAATTTACTATAGAAATACATTGAAAATTTACTAGAGATTGTAATAAATTAAAATTTTACTTGGGCTGATCTACTGGAAAATGAATTTCCATTGAAAATTGGTTAGAATGTGATTGCCATTACATTCATTTTCAACAGAATTGGCTGAAAAAAGTGAATTTACTATGATACATTGAAAATTGGTTATTGAAAGAATTAATTATTTTACGAACAGAATTGTTTTGTTACATTTATAAATATTATGCACAAAATGAATTTACTATATAAATTTTTAGAGATGGGATCGTTCTCAATTGTTTCTAACAGAATTGTGTTGTTACATTTAAAAATGAATGAAAAGTTTCTTGAAATGAATGGTTTTGCTTTTGAACAGAATTTCGGTCTTCTTTCATTGAAAGAATCTTTTGTTTCCATTTAAGCGAAAGAAATGAATTTACTATAGAAATACATTGAAAATTGGGGAGATGTGATCATTTTTCAAAATTAATTATTTTTACGAACAGAATTGTTTAAAAGCTTAAGGAAACGGAGAAGTTAAGCGAAATTGGTTAACAAACCAAGATACAATTGGCATTGCCGATTTCCGACTATTGGTCTTTGTTTAACAGTCAAGCTTGTTATTGGTGTTTCACTTCTTGTCCGCTAGGGTTTTTTGAGTTTGTCCGGATGTGATACAAAGGGAAACAAACCAGGCAGTTGGCGGTGGTAATATTGGTGTTCCATACTTACCTGTCCAAAGGGAAGAAGTTACCTACCTATCTACTTACCCAGCGAGACGACCAGGTGAATCCCTGAATAAATATACCTATTTTATAATATGGGAAACGACGTTCGTATTATCATTAATCTACGTGATGTTTCTTTTTCATCTTTTTACATTGTGAACGTGCAGCAGGCCCTTTCCCAGTTTTTGTTGCTCAAAGAGGAGATCGTGAATCCAAATGCAACGTGGAGTAATTATTGGCCGGTTGATTGATTCGTTTTCTACGGTATATCAGCCCTTTGCAGGTTATTTAAATCCAGATAATATTTTTAGATTATAAGAATTATGGTGAGGTGGGGGTGATAATACAGATTTAGTGAAACAGCTTTTACTAATTAACCTATAGCTGGGGGAGAAGAGGTGATTTCATACTGCTGCCAAAGATATTTGCGCGTAAGTGAATTTAACGAACCCAACTGAAATTAGAACTCCGTGACATTATCCATTAGACCAACTGCACATCCAATCTTACAGCACCTGGTATTCCCAAGCGGTCACCCATCTAAGTACTGACCAGGCACGACGATGCTTTACTTCGGTGGTCATAAGGGTATTGGTGTTTCAAAGTGATATGGCTGTAAGCCTGGTCAGTGGAAAGGGGTCGGTTGGGCCAGGGTGGTGATGTATGTTTACACGGGCTGTTATATGCATAATTTAAATTCTCTGATAATGATTTAGTATAAAATACATTGAAAAACTGTGTGAAATGATTGTCAGTGGTCAAGAATTCAGTCTTTGTTGACAGAAATGAACTTTTATTCACACAAATATATATTCCTTCGCCGTAACATCGGCAAACCCTGGTATAAAACTGTTGAAGGGTCCACCCCTTTTTATACAAATGGACTCACCCAGTATATACATATACTACAGCTACGTGAAGACCCGATAGAGCAAGACCGAGGAGTCGAGTCCAGAGTGACAGAGTAAAAGGTTGTAGGTAACCGGAAGAGTGAGGGGTGAGGTAACAGCGTCGTAAGAGTCACAGTGAGTGAGCACGCAGACTCAGTAAAAAGTCATACAGCATTACTTCAATACCAAAGACTGTATATATATTTTACTACTAACCCGTATTCCTGGAACTACTAACCTGCTTTACCAGTTTGTATTATTACGTTAATACATTATTTTCATATATTAATTCCTGGCGTTCGTTAATTATTGGTACCGGATTTCAACCCGGAATCCACAACAAAAACCAAACGGCTAGATGGAGATCATTAGCATGATTAACGATTATATATTTATATTAATGTTTATATATTCAGGAAAATACTCAGCGTCAGGGCATCACCAAAACGGTATTGGTCCTTCTCTAGGCCATTACCGTTGAAACAGAGGAGCGCCTGCCCTTTGGAATGCAGGAAGTTGATGAAGATGCATACTATAATGAAATTTCCTCTACGGTATCAAGACTTTATGAGTTTAATCGCCGTACTAGATTGGCAATATGATCTCATCTTTTTACTGCTGCATTGACGAGATGTAACCGTAAGTTCTTTGCTAACAGTTTCTTTTCTCGCACTTTTCGCCTGTGGATCTTTCTTTCAGCTTCTTGCTTTCAAGCCTACTTTAATCTTCAATAATTTAAGAGTAACAGAACTAATTTCAACTCGGAACAAATTTCAACTCGGAACTGATTTCAACTCGGAATTAATTCCAACTCGGAAGTAATTTTAACTCGGAACTGATTTCAACTCGGAAATAATTTCAACTCGGAAATAATTTCAACTCGGAAATAATTTCAACTCGATTTAAAATCAAAGTTCTCAATTTCCGTGAATTCCTAAACAAAATGCAATGAGTTGGTGTTGTGGCACCATTTATTGAGGCAGAAAAAGAAAAGAAAGAAAAGAAGGCAGAAAGAGAGGCGAGACCAAACGTAGATGATAAGCAGAACACACACACGGCTAAGAGACAATGGATAAAGGATATTTTGATAAGTAACAAATGGCGAAAGAGTGTCATTACAATGACAGGGAAATTCTGAGTAAAAAAAAGAAAAAAAGAATCAGATATGTTTTGGCGACGGCTGTGTTATCTAGGTATATGTAAACAAACTGTTGGTACGGGAAGGCATCTGATTATCAACTACAGACCGAATGGCCAAAGAAAAATCCAAATGAAAATGTTATTTCGATAAGTGACGAAAAACAGGTAACTAAAAGGACTTTGGATAGATATGAAAAATTAAAAGCCACACAAGACGTGTCCACTGACCGACTTCTTTCGACGGAACATCTTTGGCCTGCGATAATAAAATTATGTTATAAGAAATATGTACCGAAGGGAAATGAATGGGAATTTAGAAATGTCCATTCGGATAATTAGCGATAAAATGCCTGACGAAGACCACGTGTAGAACAAGAGTTATGACCGCCATTGTTCATATTGTCCCGTTTTCGGCTAGAGGAAGAAGAGGAAAAGAAAAGATAATTTTTTAGTTAAGCAAGATATTTTTTTTCCTGAAACAAAACCGCGGATTCGTCCACGCCCGACTAAGACATCATTGGTCGAGTGGTGATCACGTGACGCACGAAGGAGGCTGTCGCCGCCCATCCAGAGTATAGTTATGAGAAGCTGCTACGAAGAAGTGGGGAGGGCAGTTCACGCCCCTCTGAAGTATGGTGAGAAGGTGGGAGTAAGGAAATGTTCCCAAAAATGGAAAAAAGTGGAAATTCCTAACCAGAGAGGTGGATATGTATTTAGAATTATCGAGGAAACCCCGACGCCGACACCCCCCGGTTTTGGTTGGCGTCCATATAAGCGAAGCCACAGCAAGCAGAAATCAGTAGAGTTTGAGTTGAGTCTCAGTTCGAGTTGGAGTTGCAGCGAAGAGTCAGTCTCCAGTTGAAGCCGCCTAGCAGATAGCTGACCAAGATTCACGCAAATTCTGGACTCCTCTTCAACCAAGAACAATTATTTTGAAGAGCGACTTAGATCCAGACCACCAAAATAAGTTTTTTTTTCGACTTTCGTCCGAAAACACACCGAAAAACCAATTTCTTAGAGAGCAAACAACTTGAAGCGTTAAAACTCGCCTAACGGAAAACGACGTGTCACAATCCATAGAACGGGTCGGGAGATAGATGCAGTCCTATGTATCGAACAACTAGACATAAAGTTTGTTACCTTTTTCTTTGACACTTTGAACTTTTGAGTTTTCATTTTATTTTCTTTTATGCATATTTGTGTGGTGTCACCCCCGTTGAACTCGATTTGCATTACTGCCCCAACCACTGATTGATCTCGTCTGTCTAAGATCAATTCACAACGTGGGTAGGCAGACTGGGGATCAATGCAGTTACCTTGGTAACCAGGCGTTGGAAGCGAGTTGGGAACGACGAGGCTGATATCAAATCTAACCAGATTCCTACCCGAATCACCAAAAGGTTAGAACGTCACATTTGGGTGCCGCGACCGATACCAAGCCAGTTGGTCGTCACAGGACGAGACAACACGACTGACGCGACAGGCGGACGTCACGTTTGGAGCAGCGACACCCGAACGGAGCAGCGAGGGAGCGAACGGCTGGCGCCGCGGCGGACGTCTGGTGGTGCTGTTTAGGGACGTCACAGTTGGTGCCGTGGTAGACCAGGATAGAACGTCACAGTTGGCGCCGCGACCAGGGGACGACGTCACAGTGTTAATTTTTTTTTAATTTAGCATTAAAATTCCTTAGTAGATAAGATAATTCAGAATTCATCATTTCTGCAACTTTCATTCTTTTTTGTTGGAAAACCGAGTTGAAATTAGTTCCGAGTTGAAATTAGTTCCTAGTTGAAATTAATTCTGCACCCCTAATTTAAATACAACATCAATTTTTATCTACTGTCTTCTTGTTTACTCTTTCCTCTTCCCGCTCATTATTAATGTTTCTGTTCCTAATTCTTCCACAACCTGTAACCCCCTTTTGTCTTAGTGGTTTTACTGCCTTGCATGGGGTGATACCGATTTAAAAGTATGATAATCTTTATTGCATTCCATGGCATTCGATGGAGTCGAGCATTCTGGGAACCAAGATCTTTTATTTCTGCTCCTTAATAATGTTTCTCTTTTTCTTATTCTTTCACGCTCAGTAACCTATTGTGTCTTAGTGGCTTTACTGCCTTGCTTAGGGTGAAATGATTTAAAAAAAGAAGAAAGATTGCTAATGCTTTTCAGTATAAATTCATTGTAAATGTTTTCTAGAGCAATGCACTTAATACCAATGAAAAGTCTTGTCTCTGATCGGGACATCCATGCAAGTGTTCTGATATGTCTAATGCAGTGTTTCTCAAACTTTGTAAGTAACGGTTCACCTATGAACAAATGAAAATATCACAGCACGCTTAGCAAAATTTTTAAAGGATATACGTTTAAATTTTAAGAAATAAAACCATAGATTTAAAAAATACCCATACAAATATGAACTTACTTTATTTGAATGTTTCTATTCAACTATTTGTACACCTTATTTAGTTTTAAATCTATGCCTTGTGTTTTTTCGCGATTTCTTCAAAGTTTGGTCGAATGTACGATAAGCAGATTCTTATTTCTTCTTCAGTTGGGCGTAGTCTTTCTCGATTCTTATTTTTCTTCTTATTTACGGTTGAGAAGCTTGGTTCACATAAATAAAAATAGAAATTTGCAATAAAACTGATAAAACCTCTTTAGCTAATGTGCGAGATTCCTTTTGTATTGAAATCCAAAATGTATCAATGGGTGCCATCGAATGTTTTATTTTGAGCCCTCGACAACAAAAAATGGTCGCCAATTCTTTTTTGTCAAACAATTCATTTAACTATTATTTATTACTAGCAGCCATACCCAGCTGGTCGATCCGAAAAAGCGTTCAATTTGAATGGAGCAAAAACTTCATTATGTTTAGATGTAACAGAGTCTATTTTCTTTAATTACTTTAAAGTAATCTCATTAAAGAATCATTTTAAATTAATGCAGTTACTGATATAAAAGGAGTAGTCTGTATTCAATCGAAGTTAGCCGAGGACATGAAGAGGTAAAACAGGCAACATGAAGACCCACTTCAGACCACAATTATTTTAGAGTTTTTGAAATTCAATTTGTCAGTGTGCTACTAGGGATATAAAAGAGGATACATTTATAAAGCAATTGTTAAGTTCGATGAAAATTGGTTGAAAGATTAACTAAAAATAAGAAAGAAACCAGTAAAAATCGCCATTTTTCGCTATTTACGCGGGTTTTCACTTTATGGGTGGACTCAATTATCAAGTTAAATGACTGTTAAACAATCAACTTATTGTTGGCTACAATTGAGTGAAGGTTGTATTAGATTGATTGAAAATTGAGGTAGTTTTTAGTTTGTGTTGAAATCAATTTTTGTTGAAATCGATTTTTCGTTTTTCGCGATTTTTCGCTAAGTGCAGTGTCGTAGTTTGAACGAAATCGGGGGAAAAAGTTGAATTTATGGATATCGTTTATTGAGTTTTTTTTTTAAATTGTCGTTTTTTTTACGCTAAGAACCTATCTCTTACATGGTACAATGTATGTGCCAAGTTTGGTCAAAATCGGTAGGATGGATCTCGAGTGAATAGGTAACACACAGACAAACACACAGACA